TGGTTGGACTCAATGATCTTCCATAAGCTTTCCAGCCTTAAAAATTCCATGATTTGTTCTTTTGTGGGACTCCTGTAATATGGGACTTTCTGGAGGTTCTGATTTGGGTTTGGGATGAAGCAGGGCCACGTATTAGAGGATTTAGTAGTGTTGGCTTGATGGTTGGACTTGATGATCTCAAAGGTCTCTTCCAACCTAAAGGATTCTATGATTCTATCTGTGATTCAGTTGGGCTGTGGATTGCCAACGAGAGCAGGGATGAATTTGGGAACAACCCCCTTTCCTTTCATGCTCCTTTTCAGCTAGAAGAAATTTACTACTGTCAAAAGAAGAAGAAAAAAAGAGAAAATGCAGTTTCTAAACAACTGCTTTTTAATAACTTCCTCCTGCCTCGTGCCTTGAGTCATCTGTCCCCTGCCTGTAGGAAGGAGCAGGGGTGTCATCCTGCTGATGAGGTGGCACGTTGATGGAAGATGCTACGCAGGGTTCTTGGCTGGGATCCCAAAAAATGAGAGAGTTGCTGTTGTGATGCTGCAGCCCAACGACGAGGGGAGGCAGGGCTGAATCATCTGGGTGTGATGTGTGCTGCTCAGGTTGGGGATGGTTTTTTTTTCTCATTAAAATACTCAGAAGGTTGTAGGTAGGGTGTTAGTGCTCGCTGCTGGTTTTTTTTTTGGGTGGGTTGTGACCTGTTCAGGAAGTCCTGGATCATCTTGTGGGAATGAGGATGGTGATGATGTGAAAACAGCCTTCTGCAGGAGGCTGTGGGGGGGTTGGATGACCCCCCACCACCACCACCACCTTGGTGTCCTCCAAAACTTAAGCCAGGATTTGAGGGATGTCCTCCCCAGTGCTGAGTCCAGTCATCTGACCTGGGATACATGTTTTTGTGGTGCAATGAAAACAAGTGTCTCATGCACCAAAGCTTCGTGCACTGAAGTTGGGGAGTGTTTCAGAGCCAAGATCTCTGAGTTGCTGTTGTCCCAGTAGCTCAAAAAACTGCAGAAAACCAGACAAAGCTTTGGTTGCCACAGTCATTGATTCACAACTGACCTACAGCAAAAGGAAGAACCACCCTCCTCCTGCAGGATGTTCTCTGCAGTTAGCAGTGGGTGAAGAAGGCTCCTCAGAGCATCACAAGGGTGACCAGGGGCTTCTGGTGATGCTGGGCTGGCTCCTGCACCATGTTTGCAGACAGCAGAGGTTGGTGCTGGGCAAGATGCTGAGTGGTGCTGCACTCTCCCAAGGATTCTCAAAAAAGAAGGGTGTGGTTCAGCACTAAGGGAACCTTTCCTGCCTGAGGAAGCGTGGGGTTTACCTCACCATGGGACATCCTGCCCTGCTCTGCAGGACCACGAGCTCTGGGAGCAGTTCTCCCCTCCAGGTCCACGTGCTTGGCAAGTGGATTTGCCAGAGGGAGCAATCTGGAAGGGAGCACCCAGGGGGAAACGGTGCCAGTGACTTCCAGTCTCATTTTTGGAGTCGCTGAGGCGTGTGAGACTGAACCAGCACATCCTGGCTGCCTCACATAATCCTCATTTAATCCCACTACAAAGTCAGCAATGAGTCTGTAGAGGTAATAAACTTAATTACTTCACTGCAGGATGGAGGAGCTGTGAAGGAGAAGCATTGGAGGAATTTTTCAATTGCCTTCAAACAGCTGAATGCGGGGAGCTGCCTCTTTTGGTGGGGAAACCACTGTAAGATGGGTAAAGATGCTAAAAAATGTCCTCTTCTTCCATTTCCAGCTCCCAGCCCCACCACAGCCGTTCCTTACATGTCGGTGAAGTGCATTGATATGAGAAAAAACCACCACAAAACCAAGTGGCTGATGCCCTGGGGACCCAACCACTGTGAGAAGCTCAAAGACTTCGACGAGGCGGTGAGCAGGCAGATCGAAGCCAACGACATCGTCTTCGCTGTCCACATTCCCCTCCCCAGCAAGGAGATGAGCCCCTGGTTCCAGTTCATGCTCTTCATCATGCAGCTGGACATAGCCTTCAAGATGGACAACGACCTGAGTGAGTCCCTCTCTAGAGCTTGTTGGGAGATCTGCCCACAATCAGCACCTAACGTGCTGCTTTTAAGAGGTGCTTTTATTTTACGCCTTTTAAAAGCTTCAGTGCCCCCTCAGGGTGACACAGGAGCAGGTTCTAAAGGTGGGAATCCATAATGAGGTGTTTCAAGGTGTATCTTGGAGAGCAGATGGTGAGCAGGTTCCTTGTTTGTCCACAAGCCATCAGCAGCTACACTTCAAATCCAGCAATCCCCTTCCACAGGAAACACTCCTGGGTTCCTTGTGCTTCTTCAGGTTTCAAGTCACTTTTTGAAAATACTCCAGGATCCTGAGTGCAGAGCAACAGTTTGCAGTAGAAAATACAACCCAAACCTCTAAGCTTCTGCTTTCCTCCTGCTTCTACATGTTCCCATCCCCTGTGCTGGATCTTCACGTGCCTGGCTGGTTGAGATGGGGTTTGGTTGGGTGGACGTGGTGAAAGTAATGAGACTTTCTAAATTATTCTTAAATCTCTGCCCAAAAAATGCATTATATCAACACTTAAAATTGTTGCCAGCTTCCCAGTGCTGGAGACTTTAAACTGTGCAGTTCTGCTGTTTGCCAACCACTCTTGTGTGGAGAGTTTCCAAAGTGAAAATCAAAGTACTCAGTGAAGGCAACTAATGATCTGTAAGTTTACTTCAGGAGCTCTTAGGAAGGAAGTCTCATGTCTGAGGCTTCTAAACACAGGTTCCTCACTGGGCATTGGTTCACAGAACCCCAGCAGGGTGGGGTTGGAAGGGACCTCTGGAGATCATCTCCTCCAACCCCCTGCTCCAGCAGCTCACCCCCAGCAGGGTGCCCAGGATGGGGCCCAGGGGGGTTTGGGATCTCTCCAGAGCAGGAGACTCCACAGCCTCTCTGGGCAGCTGCTCCAGGCTCGGCCACCCTCACCCCAAAGAAGTTTCTCCTCCTGCTCAGGTGGCACCTCCTGGGTTCCAGTTGGTGCCCGTTGCCCCTTGTCCTGTCCCTGGGCACCACTGACCAGAGTCTGGCCCCAGCCTCTTGTCCCCCGGGGGCCCTTTAGCTCTTGCTCAGCACTGCTCAGATCCCCTCTGAGGCTTCTCTTCTCCAGCTCAGCAGCCCCAGGGCTCTCAGCCTGGCCTGGCACAGAGATGCTCCAGCCCCTCAGCATCTCCACAACCTCTGCTGGACTCTCTGCAGTAGCTCCTTGTCTCTCCTGAGCTGGGGAGCCCAGCACTGGACCCAGTACTCCTGAGGTGGCCTCCCAAGGGGAGGAGAACCTCCCTCAACCTGCAGATGGAAAAACCCTTTTAGCCTGGACACTGGTGGTATAAATTAATTGGGGAATGGTATAGGTGCAGGAACCATAGGAAAAAAAACTCTTGTTCCTGGATTCACTCTTAGTATCTGGAAGAAAATAAAATATGAAGTGTGAGAGAGGAATCCAAACCCAAAAATACCTTAAACTCCAAAATAATCCTGCAGAAAATCTACAAAATGTCAGGAGCAGCAAGGACAAGACTCGCTGCCTCTTGCTGGAAGCTCTACACCATGTGATGGGGCAGTGCAGGGAGCAGCCCTGGCTTAGAAGCTGGTCCTGGTTTGGGAGTGGACTAGTGAACACACAGTGGTAGGGCAGGAGGTCCACCCTGGTCACTGGAGACTGGCTGATACTTTCATGACAGCTTAGCTCCCTCCAGAACCTTGCCTGATCCTCATGGGCAGGTTCCTTCTTAGCCATTTAATGTCTCATCATTAAGATAAGCTAAAACTGAGATTGTATAAAGCTTATGTTATGTATTCTTATCCCTGTAATTATCTCTACAAGACAGAGAAGGTGGATTTAACTTCACTAAGGCCTCAACTTCTTCAGCTTCAATAGATGATGGTGTTTAGGGAAATAACCCTTTGTTCTGAGGCCTTTTGAAGTGCAACCACTGAGCTGGAGTTGGGAACTGGCTGAGCACCTGGTTGCTAAAATGCTCAAGAAGCTTTTGATAGTCACTTCTGTATGTTGAGGCTTTCCTTCAGGTTTGTCATGCTGGTTGGTGACCACGTCCTTCAAAGGTGGGCACTTCTCTTGAGGCTGAAAAGCAGAAGAGCTTGTCTTGGGCCACGCTCTGGGTAATAAAAGGCAGGTTTGGGGGTGAGCTGTACCCCAGGGAAAGACTCAGGGTCTGGTCATCAGCTCAGCAGCTGCTGGTGGGCTGGGTTCATGAGGCTCATTTGGAGACAGGGGACATAAATATTTAGGTTGTGGGCTTACTTGGCACATCTTGAAGGTGTTCTCTCAGTGACTGGGAGATGCTGTTTCCTGAGCTTTCTGCCAAGCTGAAGGCAGATGTAAGTTAAGTATAAAAACTAAGAAACTAGTGAGTAAGGTACTTCTTGCTTGCTTGTGTAGTAACAGAATTTTAAGGGATAAACCCCCAAAGTGGCCTGTGTCTCTCTGTATCTTGCTGCTAACTTTGCATTAGTGTCAAGAGCTTCATAGATGAGGTGATTGGGAGCTCCTCACAAGAGGCCATACAGAAGATGTGAAATAACCTCATTTCTTCCTGGAAATCAGGAGTTTGAATTTCTTCTCTCTCAAGCTTTGAGAGATGTTCATGCCAGCAGGGGCTGGTGCCAAACCAGGGATGGCTCCTGGAAGGTGTCCTGGCTGTGAAAGCCTTGGCCAGTCACCTCTAATGACTGTCCTGAAGTGTCTCAGATCATGTAGGAAAGCAGCACAGCCTGGCCACTACGAGTGCTGTTGTCTCCTGAAGAAGCTGGCCCCCTGAGGAGACCTCCCAGTCCCTGCTGGCTCCAGAAACCCAACAGCGTGGTCTGAAGGTGTTAAAGTGTGTGTGAGCTGTGGGGGATCCTGGGCTTGGCCTCTGGAGAGCCAGTCATCCATCTGTCAGCTCTCATCCAGCCAGTGAGGGCTTTCCTGGGTTGGGGGGAATGGGCAGCCCTGGCAAGGTGGGTGGCTGTGTTTAGTTTTGGGACCCCAGCTCCCAGAAGGACCTTGAGGGGCTGGAGCGTGGCCAGAGAAGGGCAACGGAGCTGCTGGGGAAGGGTCTAGAGCCCAAGTGTGGGGAGGAGCAGCTGAGGGAGCTGGGGGTGCTGAGCCTGGGGCAAAGGAGGCTCAGGGGAGACCTTCTGGCTCTGCACAGCTCCTGACAGGAGCCTGGAGCCAGGGGGGGGGCGGGCTCTGCTCCCAAGGGACAGGACAAGAGGAAAGGGCCTCAAGTTGCCCCAGGGGAGGCTGAGGTTGTCCCTGAGGAACAATTTCTTCCCCTGGAGGGTTGCCCAGGGCTGTGCCAGGCTGCCCAGGGCAGTGGAGGAGTCCCCACCCCTGGAGGGGCGTCCAAGCCGTGGAGATGTGGTGTGAGGGACACGGGGCAGGGGGGACCTGGCAGTGCTGGGGGAACAGTTGGACTTGAAGATCTCAAAGGCCTCTTTCTAACAAAACCAATCCTGTGACTCTAAGGTGCCCTGGGAGGCAGGAGAGCTGCCTGTAGCCTTGCTGGGGCTGGGCATCCTGAAGGGCCCTGTGGGACCTGCACTGTTCAGAGCAAGAACCAGCCTTTGCCACGTTGGCCTTGGGAACTTGCTGTGGACTTGGAAGAGGCAGATGTTCAGAACTGGTTTTGAAATTGCCAAACATCTGTTTCAAAGCTGAGCTGCTTCCCTTGTCTTTATCCTTTCACAGAAAGCTGGCAGGGACTTGGGCTTGCAGCTTCTCTTCCTTCAGAGGCTATTTCTGTGCCCAGGCTCGTCCTTTTTTGATGCATTGTGCATTCAATTATTAAAAAGCCTTTCCAGATCAAGGAAAAACACCAGAGAGAGAAATCATGGACTCAGAGAATGGTTTGGGTTGGAAGGGACCTCAAAGATCATCTAATTCTGCCATGAATGGGATGATATCAGGTTGCTGTAGCTGTACATCAGACCCAAAAGCTGAGGTGGGAAATCTTAATGGGTGGTGTGAGGATGGCAACATCTGCCTGCTCCTGCTGGGATGCCAAATGTTCACAGGGGACTGCAGGAATCCATTTGGTGCCTGCACAGCTCCTGGGCCTGCCCACCCTGCTGCCAACCATGTCCCTGCAGGAGCTGGGACCATTCCTGGAAGGAATCCCAGTGCCAGGAGCCTGCTTCTGAAGCTGGAGTGTTACTGGTGTGGGTTGGAGGAGCTCTGCCTGCTCACAGGGAGGACTGAGGCTGCTCACAGCCCAGCCAGGACCCTTCTCCTGCCCTCAGAGGGGATGGTCTTTGCTTCCAGGCAGGACATGTGGCCAGGCTGGCTCCTGGAGGCACCTCCATTCCCTGGCAGAGCAGGGCTGAGGCTGCCCACAGAGGGGGGGGGGTTCAAATCCCCTTTACCAGACAGGTTTATGCTGTTGTCTCCACGCCCTGAGCATCAGAGGCTCTTTAAAAATTAATTCCGCTCTGCTTCCACTGCTGGCACATGTCAGGGCCATGCTTCTGTGGGCAGAATACCCTGGAGGAGGGCAGGAGGACGTGCTGTGAGCTTGGAGGGGATTTCTCTGCTCTTGAGATGTGTTTTATTTATTGTTTGGCTGGCTTGCTGCCAGGGGTCTGGGCCCTTGGCATTTGGCAAGCTGCAATGTTCTCAGCAGGGAACTTCAGCCCTTCCCTCCCAGCTGCTTTGCAGCACCACCTGCTATGTGCCAAGGAGTAATTCCCTGGTGTCCATCCCTAGCTGGAGCAGGGACCTGGAGCTGCTGGTTCCTGGAGTGCCACAGGCTTCAGGA